AGGTGGACCAAAATGATTTTATTTTATTTTTTAATTATGGGCCATGACCAATAGGTTCTAGACTCATTAAGGGGCGATTGGATATGAATTGTACAATAAAAAAAACAATCAAAACTCAACTTTATCTCAACCCTACTATCTCCAATATTATTTATACAATTAAATAATATCAACTAATTATTCTTACATATCACATCAACTTTAATTTACTATTCATCCAATCACATAATTTTAACTAACCATCACTTTCAATCATTTTCTCCTACTTTTATATCAAATCAACTTTAATTATTTTATGTTAAATATTATTTTAATATATCCACTAACAACTAATCATACCACTTTTTTTCAAACTTAACTATAGTTAAGAAAAAAACTAGTTTTTTACTAGTTGAATTCATATACAATCACGCCCATAGTGTGGACTATTAACTACGTTTGAAGATACATTTTCATTTGTTAATATCAAAAGTATTCATATGTAATTACATATGTTAAAAGATAGTACTTTTCATTGCAAAATTAAGCTTATGTGTGTTTTTTCTTTGATTTCCTATATGATAAGGTATCAATAAATTGACATTACTCTAAAATTATTCAAATTATCACAATTACAATGGATAATAATCACAAACCATAATTTTCAAAATTTGTACTAATAGTTACAATAATCTAACTAAAGTTTAAGTAGATTTTTCTTTATGTTTTTATTATTATTATTATTATTATTATTATTATTATTATTATTATTTTTAGAAACGATAGAGATATTATGTAAATGCGCACAAATGTGCAAAGGGACATCCACCAGCTAAATACAAACAACGAACAATTGAATAAAATGGGAGGACATGTCAACAAACAGCCTAGAATTGACCTCAACAGAGTAATACTTGTGAACACAACAAAACACAAGGACACTAAAATCTCACAATAAGAGAATGTAAAAGAAAAAAAAAACGATCCGAACAAGATAAAATTGCTAGCCAACTCCGAATGAGTCATTTTGATCATCATATTATTTCCCATAAAATGTGGTCAAATCCAAATGAATCATTTTGA